TTTAATATACATCAATTAAATGATTATCTATTAATTTGTTGTTTTATGTCATTGACTTGAATAGTAAAACATAATTCCTGCAACAGATATTATTGAAATAATATCATAAGATTATTTTTAAACATTTTATTGGTAAAATTAAATAACTGAGAAATAATATATTATTTTATTGGCGTACACTTATATTTCCGTGATATTTACGTTTAATGATCACGTAAATTTTAAGCAATAAGTATTTAACAAAATTATATACAAGAAACAATAAATGAACACAATTATACGTAGTAGGGCGTCAATATTCACAAGTCAACCATGACAAAACGAATAAAACGAGCAGAGTGTTAAACTATTATTGTAATTCTGGTGTAATTTAAAATTATAATTTATTTATAATAAGGTTGAATTAATGTAATAACAATTAGAAACCTCTTAATTATGTGTCTAGATATAATTTAAACCAAAATAACAGGTATCAACGTATCTATAATAAAATCTAACCACATAATACTTATGCAAATGGGAAATGGCTTATAACAACAACCCTTTTTTTTATAATGTAACCAATCGTCACGTGGCTAACAACTAGGGTGGTCGGATGTATACAATTATATAACGCGCGACCTGACCTAATAATCCTCGCGTGCTACCTATTACCATTGATTAAATATACATATTATTGTATTATATTTAATCAATGTTATTACCACTAACCGATCAACTGATGTTTAATGGTAGCGCGGTTTTTGCCAATTTTTAAAGTTCTATTTCGATAAATTATGATTGCACAAAATCGGAACAAGTTTATTATCTCAAATTGTGTACTCAGTATCTGAATAAGAAACACTTCCAATAAGGTAATAACTATACTGTCTATACTATTTAATAATAATACCACGAGGAATATACTTATTGATTTACTATATCGTGTGCAATGGTATTTATTTTAGTGTTGAAGTTGTTTTGTTGATTAATAATTATTATTGAGAAAGTATGAGTATATACGTAAATACGAGTATAAATTGAATGATTTTTATTTTGACATTTATTCTTCAGCGATTCGTCAGGATTATACCCAGCAGAAAGTGTTCTTGTCTATTGCCCCCCGCACAGGATAACTGTTGTGCACTGTTGCGTGTAGACTCATGAAGGGTGTTACAGTCATCAATAATTTTCATCAAACAAAGGGCATCAAACAACCTGTACATTGTAACGATTCCCGTATGTACAATCTTGTCATGGTGTGTATGTGCATGCGTACTCTACGTATGTGTGGCTGCTGTGTACAGTGTCAGGCACACGAGACGATTAACACATGTATATTTCGCGATACTGTTTAGCGGAACGACAAAACAGAGAAAATGCACACACGACTGTGCGTCCTTACTATTAATTATTTATAGCCACTGCGCATGTCGTTATGTCACGACAACCGGGGTAGAAAACTTGTTCGAGGTTTATGTTATTATCGGTATTCTGTCTATAACTGTTCACACGTGACTTAACATGGAAGCGTTTTTATCGCAAAATATCAATCCGCGCAAACGAAACGTAGTTCTAACTTCTCAGAGCGATTTCAATGGCTAACGCGACCGATAAAGACCGAGATAACGGTCTCTAGAAAATGTCGTAGAAAGTTTTGACTTTTACTGTTGTGTTGCGGGAGATCCGTTGATGACTACCAATCTTTGCAGATTTCGTCACTAAGCCAAAGTTGCAAAGTACTGCGTTACTTTGAAACGAAGAAGGGTGTTTAAATAAATCGATATTCGATTGTGTCCAGAGAATATAACGGGATTTTTCTTCGATTTCGAAAATGTCTATACCTATACTGAAGTCTGTACATTTTTGTTGATGGTTATACTACGATAGTAGTATTATATGTTCGTTTGCGTTTTCACGGTAAAATTATGAAGTGGAAAGCGTGAGTATGAAGTATTTAATCTTATTTTATTATTATTATAAATAATATTCATTTTTATTGTAATGTAATTATCAATTGCCATGCATAGCAATAAAATAAATTTATTTTGTTTACTGCAATACCTGAGATCTATAAACTTAACTTCAAAATGTTAACAAAAGTAAAGAATGGCATTATTTTTTAGTAATTGTCTAAAGGATAATCCAAAAATAAATTGAAAACTGGACTTGAACTTATAATAACAACATAGTTGCTAAACGTATCATTCTTATTCGTAAAAACAATTTATTTTTTATCTACAAAGACGAATTAAATATACCTATATGCAATTATTGTGTATGAAATAGTGAAATTATTATGGTGTTAGGTATTTTTATTTTATTTTATTTTATGATTTATTAAAATTATACATATAGGTTAGACAGGTATATTCGTTTACATTACACGTATATACGTACCTAATAGATAAATCATAGTCTATGAAATAACAGATTTATCGAATGACACCGATGCTGGTAATTCAGCACGACATATCAAACTGACATTGGTATTAAATATAATAATATACACCGAAGGGTAGGCGAAAAAAGAATGTCACCATCATGAGTTGTAGTAGTGTTATAGTTTCGATATTGTGACTACAACAACGGCGTATTATTCTTTTGCACGTATTAAAATCGCGTTTAAACACACATACACACACACACGTCGTAGGAATTTAACGTTTAGAAAGCAATCTCTGTTCGCAGACGCCACCGCTGCCTCTTTTATTCATATTATATCCGTCAACGGTACGCGGCAGTCCTCTCGTGGAAGGTTCATCCGCGATCTCTTTCCCCATTTGCGGGTGCAGAGTAGTTTGCGTATCTCAGTGTAGAGTAGTATGTGGCGTTTCGCGCACTACGTCAGTGCTGAAGTGGGTGGACTGACAAAGGATATATAAATATATATATATATATATATATATAGAAATACGCAAAATCGTATTATAAAAAACTTCTGTAGCTTGGCGATAGTACTCGAGGTAGTGGTGAAGTAGTGGTTCGGGTACTGGAGAGGAGGGCTTCTCGGGATAGCTTTCTCGCTGATGAAATCGCATTCCGCGGAACCAAAAACCCGTGACCGACCGACGTCTCGACCGCCGCCTTTATCGTTTTGCGCGCGCCGTGAAAACAAAACGAAATTGTGCGGCGAGACGTCAATGCCTTAAAAAAAATTTTCTAGCATTTTTTTATTTTTTTTTGTTTTTTGATCGAGAAATTTTTCTTTCCTACCCACTTCCCGGAACGACCCCGCGTACATGAAAACTCACAGTTAAAAAATAAAAACCTTCAACTATAAAAAATCACGAACGACGCCACTATACTACTATACATATACTTTTAATACTCAAGTTAAAAGGAAAATAAAACTGCACAAATGTTATTTAAAATATAAAAAGTATAGATGCACCTACAATTTTCACGGTTAGAACAATTATTAGGCTGTTGTATTTATTGCTCAATATATACATTTATTTCAACCATTTCTACGCCACAAACAGTGTTTAATCTAGTTAATATTGTTGGTGACTGTGATATAGCACTGATGTTAAAAAATATTATTTGTAAATTGATACATACGACATACAGAATTTACTAAGGTAGTTTTAAACTATTGTCCGTCAATTCCACTGGCTATTATAAATATTGGCAGTTATTAATTTGTCTTTCTACTCGTGAAGTATATTTTGTATTCAATATTTGAATGATAATAATTATATCAAAATTTACCTAGTAGCAGTACACGATGTAAATTGGAAACTGATGCGAATAGTTTTACTGATAATTAAATATTTATTAATGACTTAATGATCTATAATTAAAAAAAAAAAGTGTATTTACTATTTTCAGACTCATTATTATGATGTTGTTTTTTACAATTTAAATTGCATAAATGTATAAGCTCCTTATTTAAAATTATTAAAACCAAGAATATTCATAACATAATATTATAGGTACCTAGATGTTGAAAATTTTTTTATATAAATTGACTGTTTTTATTTTTAGGACAAAAAAAAATATGTGGTAAGCCAAGATACATTTTCAAAATAATTTGATTTATCGTTATTTCAAATATAATACAACAATAATAAATCCAAAAATATTTTTCAACACTCTATAACTGTACAAACTTTCTCTTTTTTTTAAAAGTATAATATGTTACTAGGAATATTGTATAGGTAAAAAAAAATAGATACCGTTGCATAATATGTTACGCTTGAAACTTCTTTTTTCAGTGTTTATCGTGTACATAATATCTTTAATCTTCAGTTTCATAAACTAATACAAAAATTTCGAAAAATGTGGATCTAAGAGATGATCGATTTTATGTTAGACATGAATTATTTGAGTGTTTAATAATAAGTGTCTTACGTTAAAAAGTGTTGTTCATCTCATATTATATTAAGCACTAAAAACCTATATTTTCACGTTATTACATATCGCAGCGAATCATTTTATATTATGTAAATATCATAAAATCATAGTATTATCGTTTTATAATATATAAAGTGAGATAGTTTGTAAACAAAATAATCGGAAAGATATATAATACTTACGCTGTGCACATTAAAATAAATACCTAAAATAGGAAATAACATTTTATATTGATTATTTAATTAATATATTTTTATACAATTGTATGACTAGGTATAGTGTTTGTTTTTTTTAGTTTTAAGATTTTAATACAAAAATGTAATTAATATTTAATTGTATATCATTCATATTTTTTGACTAGATTAGATCTATATACATGCTGTGATGATTGTAGGACTAGCTTTTAGTTTTAATATTAATATACCTTTATAATTTAATAGGATTTAAAAGGATATTATATATTGATCGTGAAAAAAATCAATGAACGTGTACGATTACTTAAGCATCGTAATTGGTGGTTAATAAGATATATAAAATATAATATTACTACAATATAATATACAGTTGGAAAAAGTTACATGAAATAATTATTAAGCTGTAATCACGAAAACTGATTATTTTTCGAGAAGATCATTATTATTGAAATATAGTTATATTATTATATAATTATATAAGATTTTATTGACTGTAGTTGAATTTAGTGTTTTTATCTAAACGTACTTTGATTTACGTGATTATCATTTGTAAGTAATACATGTTTTTGTCAGCAATAATTTTATGATAGAATCATATAATACATACGTTATAATAAATAGAATTAATCCAATAAATGGTATAACAATAAACAGGTAACTGAGTGAGTACGGATATTTCATACATTTCAAGACGTACAGACATACAGTTTAGTAAATTTAGTTATTATCTGGAGTAGGATAACAACCTGGGGCCAAACCATTGAATGCCGAATGCCCCCAAAGGGGCTGTAACTAGTATGGATATTACAGCGATAGTTAACAATCGACTAGCACTTTCCTTATCCTCGTCTGTCCCCATCATTCTCGCCATATCCAACGCTACCGGAGCAAGAGCAGCCTGCATAAAAAAAATATATTACATTGTATACCTACACAAAACATCCATATGAATAATTGATAGTAAATTAATTTATGATAAACCTATAAACATCTTGTATTATTTGCATAAAAGATTCTAATGGGGTTAGAATTATGAATATAATGGTATTAACTGAATGTTACTAACTTGGACAGTTGCTTTGGGAAGCCACGCGATATTAATGAATATTACTTCTTTAATGTTGAGTCCTGCTCCCCAAACTGCACATGATGTCACAATCAAACGCACCTAAAGTGTAGTATTGTAATTTATAGTTTATTTTATAGTATTAAGTATCTGTCTTATTCATAATATTAATATTAAATTAGAATAATAACATTTTGTATAAAAAATTAATTTCTATGTATATATTATCATACGAAAGTATTTGCTAATAATATTTAATTGCATGAGAATAGATCTTACTATCAATCCGCAAATTAGTACTAATAATCCAGCGATGACTATGTCGCTACCCTTGAGAAGTTCAAATTTGACTTCAGTGCCTATAGACGCAAACAAAACCGGTTGAAGTCCAAACCAAATATACTCGAACACCGTTTCAACTGGGTTTACTTTGTTATGGGCACTATCGTCTTCGTCATCATGTGATGAAACTGTGGTTGGTCTGTCACAGTTTTGTTTTTCTTCTCTCCACTTCCAACCGGTACCCGCCACGAACGATGATATGATACAAGCTAAAGGACCAGCTCCCGGATATCCGCACAACTGACTGCCGGTTACAGCCAGAAAACCACCGGCGCCTAACAAAAATGCCCTCTTTGCTGTTAACGATTGGTCCGCCTGAATGAAATGTTAAAAATTTAGAAAATTTGTTGCTCCTTATCGATCTCACATTTCTCTCGCTTTATTGTCCTACTTGTTCTTCATCATTTCTCCCGTCATTTTTACGTTGACCTTTTCGAACGGCATAGGACACATTTGCCCATGGTGCGGGTGGCACAAAAATTAAAAGGAATCCCCACACAAGTCCCAATGCAGTCCCAATACAGACGTCCTCAGGTCCTTGGACGATCTTACTGGTTAAGTTACCTGTTTACAAATAGCAAAGATATATAGCATTTATTTACATATAGTTGTACATATATTATAATTTATACCTGTTTATCTATACATTTCTATTTAAAACACGGAACAAATGCTACAAAATGGTCTACAACATATTTATTTAAAACGTGCGGTTCACAATATTCCAAAAATGTTTATTCTAAAATATTCTTAAAGCGTCGTTGTCTAAGTCAATGCAAAGGAATATAATCATTTGCGTTGTTTAGTGTAACGTAGGTAATATTATAATATTAAATATTTTTATACAGCATTGACGTACCAGTTGAAAAAACGATACCCGACAAAACGCCAAAAGCGCTGATTGACACGATATCATCTAAACTCGATGCAGCTATCACCAGTGTGTTGACTCCGTTTTTTTCACCATAACCCATATGTTTCAATTTTAATAGATTTGGCACTAATACAGCTGGACTGACGGCCGACAAGACGAACCTTACAAATCAAATATACATACGATTTTGATATAATTATTTTGACTACATCATTAAAACGTAAATATCAATATAATATGATATAGCTATAAGGATAGAATATGGAATACTCTAGTAATTACTTTATTTATGTAAGTGTACATATTATCCTATCTTAAATACTATATAATTAATTTAACAATAATTACACTTAAATTTGAGAAACATTTTCATTTTACATTATTTATATAGGTAAAACATTGGTACACATTTTGCGTTTATCGCTTTCTAGGATTAAAACGTTAGGATTTTTAAATTTGACGAACATTATATCCATATGGATTGTCTTAATCTTACTTATATGTAACAAGGTAGATTTTACCATTTAACTCTAATATATTTAATGTTAGAACGAATTGATTTAATAACAAATTTAAAAGGAATAATTTTATCTAGGACACCCGGAGAAATTTGTTTTTGATATTTAAGTTTTGAATCAAGTTATGAGAATTTTAAAATTGTATACAGGTTTAATGGTTTTAATTTGTTTAAAATTAATATATCAAGAATTATACTATCAGTACTTTAAATAATAGTCTTATCTTTAAATTTTATACGGGTTACTTTACTATAATATTAAAAATAATAACAAATTCTTCTTCACATTATATTTAGAATGTAATATTAAATTTATATTTATTATAAATAAAATTACAGATAATATTAAATATTTAACAATTATATTTAATCAGTTAAGTCCAGATATAAAATGGTATGCTTAGATTTGTTGCTAAGATATAAGTAATAAATCTCTATACTCTGATCTCTAAAATCTATAGCTAATATCAAAAAATACAATAAAAATACTTTTATGATACAGAATATTATAAAATAGTTTTGATTATTTCGTTTTTTTTAATATGCTTTGTGGTATTTTATATTTTTTATTTATCTTTATTACATTTAAATATTTTAATGGTCTTTTGTATTGTATAATGTTAAAAATTCTTGCTTAATAATATATTTTTAGATTATATTAAAATGAATATTGAAACGTTCGCCATTAACTATTAACTCAGTAAAATGTTATGAATAAAACAGTAAATAGAATATATAGACTATAGTATATATATATATATATATATATATATTATAAGCCTATTATTTATAACAAGTTTTACTACTGGTTACTGAATGTATAATATTAAACCCAAAATAATAATTCTCGCTGAAAATTATTTGACCACAAAATTAAATTGAATTATGTCGATGATTCATAACTAATTTATAATTGATAAATATCATGTATCATATATTACATTTAATTGTCCAAGTGATTTAAAATTGTAAAAATGCTACTGCTATTTGTAGTTTCTTTAATTAATTTAATATTTTGATGTAAATTTAATTTCCGATATTATATTTAGTTATACTAAAACCATAATGACAATTTAAATGAATTCAATAATATACAGTATAATTGAAACACAATCCAATCATTTCAGATTGACGCGTTGGCTATTAACAAAAATATCGTTTTAATTTTTGCGATCAGGTGATAAAATCACAATCATAATAATTCAACACAGTATTAAGCTTTAATGTTATACATGGTACAACTATAGACACATTTTCTTACATGTACGGTTGACTTGCTTAAATAGTATTAGAAAAATACTCAAAATACCTTAAAATGAATAATATAATATGATTATGTGTATGCCGGTGTTCATAAACCTTCCATACAGTAAAATCGTGTCCGCCCGTGCAATAATTTTTTAATTTTCTCAATTGTAGTTAAAAATATCACCGGTATTTAACGATTAATATTAAGTGCATACCTATGTGGGGCTTTAGAACAAAATACACATTCAAGATTTATCGATACTTTTAATATATAATATATCAGTTATGATATTATTATCAAAATTAAAGACCGGATTACCATGCTATTGCATCTTTTTATGGCGTGTCCTAAATTCTATAAAAATAAACTACACATCTTAATCAAGAGATGTAGATTAATTTGAAGATATTTTTATGTTGCAGAAAATTGCACGTTTTGGTTTTTATTTTTTATAAAAATACACTAAATGGTACTTTTGTAAAAATATTTTTGCTGTATAATCTATATTATATTACCATCTATATACTTTATCACTACTATATTATGTTGTTATGTGAAATATTGGAATTTTATATCTAATAATTTAATCATCTACATATATAGTACTACAGTCTATCCACAGCAACCATAGTCAACTTGTGTTTTAAAAAACAATTTTATAGTTGATACTTATTACTTCATATCATTTTATTTAAAATGCCGAAAATTGAACATAGTTTTATAGAAAAAAACTTGAAAATGTAAATGATTATTAATTTTAATTAAATATTGTAAAGCCATTTATATACGTATACCTATTGTCAGTTAATTATTATTTTATTTGAATGAAATGAAATTTTATATTTTAATATAATAGGTAATTAAATAGTTAATGTCAACTAATAAATAATAATAATAATAATAATAATAATAATGTAAAAAATAAATATTATTAAAAATAAAGGACCTATCATGAATATTTTGTTTTTGCACAATTTTGTACATTTTAACATTTTAATTGCACATTTTTTAGATGTTAGCTGCACAAAAATCCGGTCTTTAGTCATAATAGATCAGTTTGTTCCACAAAAAACGAACCGACTTCGGTCGTTTACATTTTTAATTCGAAAAAGCACAGCTTTCCCATTGTTTTTCTTGTCTCGGGTGTTCGTGTAAATGCCAACAGATGGCTATTCTTGAAGCAATCGATTAGTTCGAATCGACATTATCGGTTAAATCGGTAGTTTTTTTATCATTCTGTGACAAGTAATTTTACCAAATCAGTAGCTACTAGCTGCAGGCATTCCGTCATTTTATCGTAAATAATTCATCACATGTCGATTTATCATTAATAACTTATCACAAGATAATCTATCGCAGTAACAATTAATCGAAACAATATTTTCCTATGGACATAAACTATAATAAACTATATCACTATTATTACATACTCACCCGAGCATCAGACCCCATTCCCAGGAGAAATCGTGCAAAATGTAGTGGGCTGCTACGGCCGCTGCCACTGCTTCGGCTATACACGGCAACAGCGCCAGTCTGGTCACGGCACCGCTTAGCCGACGTAACTGGGTCGCGTTCATTTCCAAGCCACCTTTGATCAAGATCACCGACAGCGCAGCCTCTCTGTGAACAATATCGATGACACGTGACGAACAATCAGTAATACATATAGCAACGATATTGACTAAAAAGTTTTACGATGTCCTCGGATTTGGTTCTTTGTAGACGCGTGATAAAATAAATATTGTATTAACCAACGTATTTTAGATAATAAATTTTGATCATTTTGTTCAAAAAATGATGAGTTTTAAGTTAAAAATTTTAAAAAGAAAAGTTTTGTTTCGGTTTATGATTTTGGTTTGCTATAAAAAGACTATGTGAGCATTTGACATGTGATGAATACTTTTGAAAACGTTTCCTTAATGTTCGGTTTATTTAACATATTTACACCGTTTATTCTACTAGACAAGTTCAATTTTTAAAAATAGTCACCTAGATATTATTCTATCAAAACTTATTTTAGTCCTTTTTTAAAAAAAAATTAAAATATTCTTGTCCAGAGTAACTTTATCTATGTGTCTTGTGTAGGTTTACCACTCATTCAATCTAATGTCTTTGTGACGGCACGGTGGGATGAAAATCCAAAAGTTCTGCAAGTGTTAAGCCGTATATAGTCTCTACTTTTGACACTAAATGTATACTTACAATTTTAATAATTATATACGTAGGATTGAAAATAGTTTATTTTTTATCATCAATTCAGATTAAATAAAGTTTGAGAAGTACAATTTGTGTTTAAAGATTCACGTGTAAAACTTTTTCACTTTTGGACCCAACTCTTCTCTTGCCCATTCATTAAAAAATATATTGATTATTATATTTATCAGAGTTGGTAAATAGAGATGATTGAATTTATTCAAACTTTCGATATTCAAGTCAGATAACTGAAAAGTATTTAATAGCTCAATATAAATCACAAAATACTATAAATCACATCAATAATACACTATTGTAATTTATAATACATAACAGTTATTATACGTACTAAACTAATCAACGAATATTATTAGTATATTATTATATTTTCTAGTATCTAACAATATTAGTTTTATATTTCATTATATATATACATATTTGTATTATACTCTTTGATGGGAATCGTGCACGATTTTCTTTGAAATCATAAAAACATCAACAACATAATAAACCTTTGATGCAAATGTTTATATTATAGTACAAATAATAATTAATACTAACGATATATAAAAAAAAACTGATATTAAAATGGTTAAAATTGATTCTTTTGAATAAAAATCTCTTATCAAGTATAAGTGATTTTATAAATGGTAATGCTTACATAATTCGATGTAAAATACAAATTATTAAATATAATGACATTTTTATTTTTATGTTTTTTTAAGGTGTATTTCCCTGGCACCCCCACCTCCGAATTTCGGATTCAAACCAAGAGCTTTCGTTTGTGCTACGTTTGTGCTGGATTGTGCTCGAATTTCATCGTTTGTGCTGCAACCCTTCAGGAGTTATAAGGGATTTCTTTTGGGGGTGCTGGTGAAACGACTGCACCCCCACCTCAGAATTTCGAATTCAAACCAAGGGCTTTCGTTTGTGCTACGTTTGTGCTGGATTGTGCCCGAGTTTCGTCGTTTGTGCTACAACCCTTCAGGATTTATAAGGGTTTTTTTGTGGGGGTGCTGGCGAAACGACTGCACCCCCACCTCAGAATTTTCAAATTTAAATTATGCCATTCGTTTGTGCTACGTTTGTGCTGGATTGTGCCCGAGTTTCATCGTTTGTGCTACAACCCTTCAGGATTTATAAGGGATTTTTTGTGGGGGTGCTGGCGAAACGATTGCACCCTCACCTCAGAATTAGGTTAGGTCAAATTTAAATTATGCCATTCGTTTGTGCTACGTTTGTGCTGGATTGTGCCCGAATTTCATCGCTTGTGCTGCAATCCTTCGGGAGTTATAAGGGATTTTTTGTGAGGTCATAACGCACCCCAAATTCAAAATTTTGGAACTCCAAATGAGCCATTTTATGTTGACACACTACCATTAACAATTATTAATCCAAATCAGTCTCGTTGGTTTTGACATTGTTAGTGATTATTTGTACTCTTTTTTCCATCGTTATTGCTTTACTCGTTATTCGTAAAAAAGTTTTTAATCTTTTTTATAAGTAGGTGCTCTGGAAATCCTAAAATGAGTACAGCCCCTAGAGTTTTGTCGGAAACTGTTTGTTGTTAATAGGTAAATGTTCTATATGAGTCTTTTGATTATTTCTCGTAGTTTTTAGGTTCAAATTTAACTTTACTCTAGAAGTTTGATTTTTGTAATATTTACGTAAATCAGCGATTGGTAACCCGCAGCCGGTGAAGCAATTTTTCATTACCCACGCGTTAATTTTTGTTCAATAATATTTTTCATATAATTTTTAGTATTAATTAATTCTTTTGGCTTTATAAATAAAAACTAGTTTAATCGTTAATACTTAATGTTTATACTATATAGTTAATTTACAAGTGGAGGTCATTGAACTTCAAAATAACAAAGTTTTAAACAATTTTTTTTTTGAGACGCAATTCGCTTGCTTCAATTTTATAGTTGTCTTCATGTATGTCTACATTTCCGGGAATCAGACAATTGGCACAAAAACTTATAGTGACGTTTGCAAGTACATATGTATGTAAGCAGACATTTTCTATTGGGAAGTACAGAAAAAATAAGCACTCCTCAAGCCTTAGTTATAAATGCTTACACGCTGTATTACGAGTTAACAACAGGTTTTCAAGCTAGCTGATATCGAAAAATTAACTAATAAACTGCAAGCACAGAAATCGCATAATTTACAAATTTACAATTTTTTATTCAATAAAATTTTTTCTAGTAGAATTTGTATCTTTTTTTACTCATATTTCCACGTAAAACGATAAAATGTAATAGCAATAAAATTGTTATATAATATTATATCGTATGTAATTTTTTTTTTTTTTTTGTTAATGGTGGCCCTTGATGAAAAATTGAAAAAAAATATGACTTACTTAGTTAAAAAGGTTACAAGTAATCGTAATTATTGTGAACATCTACTACGATATATAACTAAATGGCGCCAATAGATAATATTTCTTTTTACAAAATAATCTGTATCTTTAACCGTTGAATGTTAAAATTAAAAACCAAAAATTACAATAAAAAAAAAAAAAAAAATGTAAAATAAATAGAGTTTAAAATTTAACAAAGCAGTTATTGACCTGATTTCTTTAGGTTTATAGGTTTGATTTTTATTTATTACCCATCACTTCTCAATATATGGATAGAGATTTAAGTAAGTATTTTAAAAGTCGTGTAGTAAATAGTAATAAATATTGACTTTAATAAATTAAATATTAAATTATATTGTTATTTTTGTAACTACCTTAGCATACTTGTGTAGTTACAAATTACAAGATACTTATTTACAGAAACACTTGTACAACTGTTTAAAGATGTTACATATTTAAATATATTTTGTTAAACATAATTATGTTTTCTATGTTACATAATAGTTATATTTGTTAATAATCAACAATAATTAATATAATTAACGACTCCACCACCAAAAATTTTGAATTTAAATTATGCTATTCGTTTGCAATAAATATTTTACAATTTGAATTTATTTCAGTAAATATAATTATTATTTGTATGTACCTATAATTGTATTATTGATATTAGTTATATCTCATGTTCCAGACAATATAGATAATAAATATTTCCTCTATCTGATATTATTTTGAGAATTTTGCTATTTCGGATAAAATTAATCAATTATTAATGGTTGTCATATTGATATTATTTTTATTATCTACCATATTACAAGAAATTTAATTTTAATTATCAGATAAGAATTTATAGAATACTGAATAGTAAATAATATGAAATAGGTTTTTATTTTGCGTTGATCGTTGATCATGATTGGTATCATTATAATATATTCATTTTATGTGAGTTGTATTAAGTTTTTGACATTTTTTTAGGCGTAGGTGTTATTATGAACTACCTACGTATTAACTATTGTATAAAAAGTATATTTTTTTTTGTAGTTAATAATGGTTTAATGTTTATCAATATTTTTTGGTATGTACGTAACTATATTCTTTATCCATACCAATAAGTATGGCTGTATCTACCTATTGCATTCTCACAAGTAGTAATGCATAACAATAGTCTAGCTACCTGGCCAACTGATACGAAATATTATCATATAACGTACTTTTGAAATGTACTTATGTACGTATATTAAATAAGTATTGGTTGTCAGTTACATTTGACAGACGTGAAACTGTGACTGTTGTACTTATAATAATCTAATGTCGACCATATATTATTCCTTAAATTCTTTTTTATAATTTATTTTATAAAGGCCGTCTTTGTAAACTATCTTATTATTATAATAATATAGGTTTACAGCATTCCGTAATGTTTATCACGTTTAACTTGACTTTTTATGAATAATGTAATAAAAAAAATGTCATTGATAAACAAGATAATATATTTTTGTTGAGATTATCAAAATGATTAGGTTAATAGCGAAATTCTCAAAATAATATTATAACTAATATTTATAACTAAGGCTTGAGGAGTGCTTATTTTTTCTGTACTTCCCAATAGAAAATGTCTGCTTACATACATATGTACTTGCAAACGTCACTATAAGTTTTTGTGCCAATTGTCTGATTCCCGGAAATGTAGACATACATGAAGACAACTATAAAATTGAAGCAAGCGAATTGCGTCTCAAAAAAAAAATTGTTTAAAACTTTGTTATTTTGAAGTTCAATGACCTCCACTTGTAAATTAACTATATAGTATAAACATTAAGTATTAACGATTAAACTAGTTTTTATTTATAAAGCCAAAAGAATTAATTAATACTAAAAATTATATGAAAAATATTATTGAACAAAAATTAACGCGTGGGTAATGAAAAATTGCTTCACCGGCTGCGGGTTACCAATCGCTGATTTACGTAAATATTACAAAAATCAAACTTCTAGAGTAAAGTTAAATTTGAACCTAAAAACTACGAGAAATAATCAAAAGACTCATATAGAACATTTACCTATTAACAACAAACAGTTTCCGACAAAACTCTAGGGGCTGTACTCATTTTAGGATTTCCAGAGCACCTACTTATAAAAAAGATTAAAAACTTTTTTACGAATAACGAGTAAAGCAATAACGATGGAAAAAAGAGTACAAATAATCACTAACAATGTCAAAACCAACGAGACTGATTTGGATTAATAATTGTTAATGGTAGTGTGTCAACATAAAATGGCTCATTTGGAGTTCCAAAATTTTGAATTTGGGGTGCGTTATGACCTCACAAAAAATCCCTTATAACTCCCGAAGGATTGCAGCACAAGCGATGAAATTCGGGCACAATCCAGCACAAACGTAGCACAAACGAATGGCATAATTTAAATTTGACCTAACCTAATTCTGAGGTGAGGGTGCAATCGTTTCGCCAGCACCCCCACAAAAAATCCCTTATAAATCCTGAAGGGTTGTAGCACAAACGATGAAACTCGGGCACAATCCAGCACAAACGTAGCACAAACGAATGGCATAATTTAAATTTGAAAATTCTGAGGTGGGGGTGCAGTCGTTTCGCCAGCACCCCCACAAAAAAACCCTTATAAATCCTGAAGGGTTGTAGCACAAACGACGAAACTCGGGCACAATCCAGCACAAACGTAGCACAAACGAAAGCCCTTGGTTTGAATTCGAAATTCTGAGGTGGGGGTGCAGTCGTTTCACCAGCACCCCCCAAAAGAAATCCCTTATAACTCCTGAAGGGTTGCAGCACAAACGATGAAATTCGAGCACAATCCAGCACAAACGTAGCACAAACGAAAGCTCTTGGTTTGAATCCGAAATTCGGAGGTGGGGGTGCCAGGGAAATGCATCTGTTTTTTTACTTTATGAAAAACATTTTACGTAGTATCCTTATATTAAGCCAATAAACTTGTCTCAAATTAAAATATTTATATTTAATTAATTATACTAGTTCAACATTTAACTTTTATATATATAAATCTCAAAAAAAATAATATAAAATAAAACTGCATGTTTTAATTTAAAAAATTGAAAACCTTAAAAAAGTTGTTTATTGACTTCAATTAATGTAAAATATGTATATGAAACGATAGTATTCACTATCAAAAATAACATATAAAAATATGTTCTATTTAATTTATCAGTTTTTTTTAATTTGTTTACACACAGTGTTTCTTGTGCATTTAAGATGCACAGATTTTTAACTTAATTATTTGAGCGAGTTTAATAAATTTTAAAATTCAAGTCTAAAATTTCATCCAATTATGATTACTTTTTTATTTGTTGTCACCAATAGCAACTTGATATAAACAAAAATAAACAACAATTCCTAAAATTTAGAATTCAACTTTGAAATTTATTTATCTTCAAGTAAAAGATTACCTATGTATCAAATTTCAAAATCATGGATACCATGGATTCACTTACAAACAAATGCTTATTAATAAATTAATTTAATTTATTAACTTTTATTATTATAATTTATAATATTTATTGGATTAAGAAGAAAGTGTAACCAAATACTGAATACTGTGGAGTGTAGGCGCAGATTTATAACAAAATAAGTAAAATAATATCGTCAGTCTGTTAGGCAATTTATTACGTTAGCTCTATATTAATTAATTTTCAAGAGGGATAAAAAAAAGATCTATTATTATATTTTTATTATTTTTTATCATTGTAACATTAATTAATATTTATATAATAATATTAATTATTACGAGTAATACGCGGTAAAAACTATCACTATAATTCATAAATAACGTAGTATGGTTATGATTTCACTGATATTCATCTGAAGATTTGTGCAGGACATTACGTTTAATAAATTTAATAGAATTTTCACGTTGAATAGTGTAAAATCTTCAAATTGGAGTTTTTAAGATCACGATTTGGCATATTACTGTATGAGCCGACCACCCCAAACGCTACGACACAGCTGGCTTAAGCACGCGTTTGCTTTAAACTTGCACTCGAGAAATAAATAAATAAAAAAAAACAAAAAAAAACAAAAAAACCTTACACTATCTCGTTTTATCATTACCGCATGATTGCCACCAGTTGGACGCACCACTCGGCGGTGACGGTGTACAGGCCGAGGTTTTGAAGAGCGATGCCGGCCACCATCATACCCAGCAGCGGCGGGAGGCCGCCCACCACGTCGACGGCATGACCAGCGGCCAGCCCGACCGCGTACAGCATGAATATGGACGCCACGCTGCCGCCGGGCACGGCCATCAGCGCCGGCGTCACGTTGACGCACAGCAGACACCAGGCCACGGCCACGGACAACAGGACGGCGATCGCGTCCGCCGCGGTGGCCGGCCACCGGTCATCGAATCGGGCCAGAAGCGACGACGGGTGCGAAGGCCGGCGGCCGCGGCCGTTGTCGGTGGCGTGGTCGACGCGCACGTTGTACTGTTTCAATGACTGCAAACCTGGTTGCGGTTGTGCCGCCGAACTGCCGCCGTTGTTCTCGTCTCCCATTTCTCGTGGTCGCGGTCCTCCTGCGGCGAACAAGTGGAAAGAAAACGATTGGTTTAATGTGATTAGGCATTGAGAAGACGTCACCACCGTATGCGTTGTCTCCGACTTGCAGACGTCTTTAGCGCGTCGCAAATTTTACATTCACGACAATATTATGAATTATGATTGATTAATGATTTTACTCTGCTGTCTTCGAAATAAGAGTGAACTGATACGTCATAAAATTCAAAATTAAAACTGTTATTTTAGGGAATATTTGAGGCTTTTATCGATATTTCAATATTGAAGCAAGTTATGAGCATTTTAAAATTTTAAATTTACTGTAGAATTTAAAGTCATCGTAATGTTGTACATATTTGTGAGACGAAAGCAGCCATACATGCGGGTGTGGCGTGTCCTCTAAACATTATTCGAAGTAATAATTATAATATTTTAATGTTATGTGATTAGTATTACGGTTTAGACGGTAGGTAGTGTTACGTCTTCGGATAGTTTCTTGTTTAAAAAAAAAAAAAAAAAATAATAATAATAATAATAACAATAAAAACTAGAAAAATATTAAGATGTATAACAAATATTATGGACTTTTATTTTTGTACATTGGTACTTGCTAATGTGCGTCAGGGAGACGTCACTACGCGTATATGTTGAACGAGCGACGTTTACAAAATATGACACGGATTATTATGAGTCTCATAAGAACCGAAAGAATGGGGGAAAAATGATTTAAGACGACAGTATAAAACAATAAAGAATACGATGATAACAAACACGTGGTGGGAGTGCATGTCAAGATACTGACTGTAAGCAAGTGCTAATAAATGCGATGTGTGAGTATTACGATGTTATAATATTGGTAAGGCTGGGCCACTTTATCGATTTATTTATTTATTTAACTTATCAAGACAAATATATGTTTAGTTTAATGTTTAATGAGTTAAGGTTTTGAGATTGTCATTTTCTATGGAAATTAAACTATTTAAAGTTGTATTTCAATTTTTATACATCAATTTGATCTCAATTTAAATCCAAAAATCCAGTAAATCATATACTTCAATAGCCCAAAGTTTAGCATTTACAATACATAACATTATTAATAATGTTTGCAGTTATTAATTTATATTAAAACAATAATTTCTATAAAACAAAATATGTTTTGAGTCTTTAGTGTTTAAATCAGGGATATTATAATTAATGTATTTATTTTCTTAGTACTTATATAATTTATATATAGATATGTATGTATGTTTCTTTCTATGTCCTCTATAGACACAAAAACTACTGTATAGCCTTTAATAACAGTTATATCAACAGATTTCTTGACACTCATGAAGGATTTGTAATTTTGTTATTAACCCATATATGTCGAACAAGTTAAACCACACATGAATTTGGTTTCGGCTCACAAAATAAAATATATTTTGTTTATAGTTAACATTGGTTATAGATATTCAAATAGTTATAATGATTGAACATAATTTTTTGTATTTTAATATATTTTGTCATTTAGGCAAATAAAGCTGTATTATATAAATGTAAGATAAAGTAACAGCTTGTTTGTATAATAGAAGAAAAATATATGGCTGAGGCTTTTAGAATAAAAGAATACTCGACCGCTTTTGATTGGTTCAAGGTAAGTAAGATAGATAATTAAACCATTAAGTGACTTATACACTATCAATAATGTTTAAATTATAATCGTATATTCGTTTATTTTGCTTTTGATTATATTTCGCATTAGAAAAAATCTTCCTTAATACTATGTATCACAAGTGGATGGATTACTCTTCTCAATTTCAATTATCCATGACCATAAGCAACACCGAGTAGTATAATTAGTAAAATATGAAATATTTGTTATTTTCATATTTTTATATAAGTAGTATATTTCTTATACAATTTTTTTTCCTTAAGGAATTATTTTGTTTTTTCATTATTATAATTTAATTTTTTATTATAAAATATAAAAAATAAAAATAAAATAAATACATCTGAGTATATAATATGTAAAAAATTTAATCAAAGCTTTTTCACGTATATGCTACTGTGATGAAAAATGAAGCTTAAATAGTCAGTACCTACTGATTAAATAATTATTGAATTTTATAAATGTACATAACATAAAAAATACAAAATAAAATGAGTAAATTATTGAATGGATATAGACCTGGAAAAGTTAATAGTATTTCAAGTAAAAGTGTTTTGGTTGGTTAGTATTAGCTTTTCAAATATTTTTAGTACCCAGTTTGCTGACCTTAAAATGGATCAGCTATAAATAAAAACATATTAAAAAAATGTCTTATATTAAAGTTGGCTGAACCACTGTATAAAAAAAGTATAATAAAATCTGATATTTAAAATGTTTATTACAAGAAAGATAAAATATTATAAAAGAGGGAGAATATTAAACAGGTGTTTATAATAAATTAAGTATTTATTTATTTTTTAATTTTTTATTATATATTTTAGTATAAAATAGGATATAATAAGCACTTATATTATTCAATAGTAGTATCATAACATAGTATTTTGAATATTATATATAAGTTTATAACTAAACAGTCACATAACATTACGTTTATTATAAAATAAATATTTATTCAATTATTAACTTGTGACATAGTTACATAAGTACTTACTATATTATGTGTATCATAAAAAAAAAAAAAAATCATGATTCATAAAAATTAAGAATTTAATCCATGCTGTATATTGTAAGTTAATTTCTATTATTCATGTATTGGTACATATTTATTATTTAGTATATATAAATAAAGCAAACAGTAACTTTAACTAATAATTATAATTTGAGGGCATGCGAGTGTTCGAATGATATCGTGAGAATTAATATATTTGAGACAATCAAAAGCACTGACGCCAAATGTTCGATATGACTGTCTATAAAATAATACCATGTCTCCTTTAACAATAAAAACATTTATAAACGTAATATACACACGCGTGATCCGGCCGTTAAGACAGTGGACCATGGTAATGATCAGATGTGGACATGTGGTGAAATTAAGGCATACGTATACGAATATGTGATATACCACGATACAGAAACCAACATAAGAGTTTTATACTATTAATTTTTACTGTAACGTCCTCTTAGAATAACTATTATAACATTTTAATAGTTTTATTTTCTATTATATTTTTATTTTTCTATTTTATTATTTTTTAATAGATACAATGTTCTGTATCGATTATTATCGGATTAGGTTAAAAATAAATATATTTGATTATTCTTTTGCGTTATAGTAATTTTACGTGATTATCCACAGACTTATTCAAGAGCAGTTAAACTATTGGTGAATGTTACTATTTTTTTCAGTATATCTTTGAAATTCTAAGTCACGTTGTAAATGGAGGAGCTATAAATATAGTAAAACAGACATGTTAAATAAGGTTTGACTGCTCTTAACTCATTTTCTGTAACAGACAATTTATAATTTTTAAAATTCTGAGAAATTAAATAAAGTCACATGTTTACATGCGTAGTTAAATATATCCTAAGCCATATGTAAAGAAAAAAGCAATCTCTTGATTAAATTCTGAATCAGTGAATCGTGTTGGAAAGAAAGCATAGCGTCATCATTTGTACATGAAAAACGAGTCTGGGCGTAGAGTCTGCCAGCCATATCACTTTCATAATGATTTTTGATATTGCTATTGAAGTAATTTATTTTGCTATAATAATAATATTAGAGTAGGTTGATTTAATGTTTTCCAAAAATTACCTTTATAAAAATTATTAATATTTAATTATTATATATTATATATTATGATACTATTACCTATTATTAAATTTTGAGTTAATTTTATGTTACCGTAATACTATGTGAATATGTCCATTGCATAAATAATTATAATCTACATATTTTAAAAATGTATGAAGTATAGAAAAATTCGTAATATATACATAAATTTTAAATTCTCATGTAACTTAAATATTTTTTAATGGAAATAATAACACTTTTAAATGTCTACAAATAGCTCAAAAACAGTCGAAACATTTAGAAAAATATATAATTTTTGTAGAATATACAAACATGGACTTTGCTGAAAATCTATGGCTAGTCGTTTTGGAAGTACACCAAAAATCAAAATCGATTTTGTTTAATACTAATTTCGATGCAAAAATTTTCGTTTCATCTTTTTTATTTTTTTTATTGTTGGAAATTTTTACTTTTGATTCTCCAAGTAGATTTAATTTACAACCAAAAATCACCCTCAAAGTACGAGTAGAAAATCAAGGCATTTTTACTGTTCCTCGAAAAGTGATGATAGATACAAACAAAAAAAAAATAATTTATATTTTCATTATTCTGCTCAAAATCTATAATATATTACTATAATCATTTATTATTAACTAAAAATGGATTTAAAAAAAAGTTAATGCACGTTCAAATATGATTTTCTTTTTTTTTTTTTTATTGACACATCATTTATTGCCTTGTTATCATTGATTACAAAAAAAAACTTAGGTGATAGAAAAAAAATAAATCTTATACTATTAAGAAAAAATATTTCAAACACTACCTGTATCAAAACTGCCATAGATTGATATTTTTGAATCGTATTTATTAATACAAATGTTCTCCCTGTTGTTTGACATAATTTAATAGTGCAAGACACGAAAACTTACAGTTTTTTAAAATATAAAATAATAAAATTACTGTTGTCACAATGGAATATCTACGTGATTCAAACACGATGTTCGTAAATTAATATTATAAAAAAAATAATAAATTACGGTACCGTCATTTTTATATTTATTAGTACGATTATTATAACATCACGACTGTATCAAACATAATAAATAACTAGGGAGAAAAACGATGGCTGTTAGTATTGAAAATCAGTTTTATGTTCTACGCACATAAATGTTGTTGTTTATTATCGTGTTTTTTACATTACAAGACTTTTATTGTTGTTCTTGAAATTATGACCGTTGTACATAATTAACACGATAATATTAAATTATTGTAATGAGTTTGATCAGAGACCACTAAAAGTACGAGTAGGATATCAATGAGAACAATTCCGTAAGAAGAGGATATGATGGGAGATAAGAAAAAAAAAACAGAAAGAAAACTAATCATAACAATCATTTTACCAATAATTACATTTAACATTATTACAATGTTTTATTAAGTATTTATAATGTACCATAATTATACTGATAAGATATAAAAAACTCTTTTTTTTTTTAAATTTCTTTATTGCAAACACAGTTGATTTAGTCAGCTTATCTTTTATCATACCCAATACTAAATTATAATAATATACTTACCTATATATATACATTTTATGGTACAACTTTATATTTACAAGTTCCCATACGAGTTTTTAATGAAATCAAATTAAAATTTCCTAAATTATTTACCATAATATTTTGCAAGAGAATAAAAATAAAAATATTATGTA